GCCGAGAGCCCAGCTGTCAAAGCAAAAGGAACAGTAAGGCCATCTGCAAACCCCAGGATCGCGTCGCCGAGATAATCACCCAATTTGCTGTGGCGCTCTGCGTGCTCGATCTGTTCTGGCATTTGTTTTGAGCGGCTAGCAAGAGTGGCAGGCGTGTCTGTGTTTTTTCTCTTGATGTTGCCCAGTAATGGCGTGAAGACATTCGAGGGATTCGACATGGTGAGTGGTGAGCTTGGTGGTGAAGTGAAGATCGGGGAGGTTGGGGGATTGAGGTAGATGAATGGTCACGGAGAGGGAAGGATTAGATCAAAAGCTTGTCCTTTGCGGTTTGCAGAATCACCTTCCAATTGTTTACACGATGGGGTTTACGGCCTGATCTTTATTTCGGGTTGACCAATCAGAAGCCAGGTTTAGTAAGAAAGTCGCCTCCACCACAAGGCTGCGTCTGCGCCTGCACCACCGAGCAAACAGACTGTTACTCACAAAGTCGATCATATTTTGAGCTTCGGTCAGCCGGACATGCGGCAAGTCGTTCACGTTGTTGAGAGCAGTCTCGACTAGGTAAGAGGCTCGCACTCACGGGCGTCCATGAATTCGTCCTACACCCATCTTCTAGATTCAAAAACTGGTTCAAGAAAGCAAAGCTTATATGGTTCAGTGCATCAATAATCAGGTCCCCACCCAAAGTAGCCCCAGCACCAAATATCATCCCCTCGAAAATCTACTCGCTATTCCCTTCGTCCAATCTGCTTGCTAGAAAAAGTCACGATCAGCATTGTTGCCAATCATATCTCAACCATCTCTTTCTTCCCAAGACTATGTGAAGACGTATCCTCGCATGCTTAGGATCAGCAGGACTCTGCGATTCCTGAGCCGCCTGAGCTATCTGATGAAACCGTGGACCTTGAGGTAACCATTGCGGTTGCTCAGAACTGCCTCCGTATCTCGAACTGACGTATCGACTCTGCTGTCCGTTCTGAGATGATTGCGCCATTATCGAGTCGAGTTGTTTGGGAAGAACGAACTCCGGAGTCACGGACGAATTCCAGCTCAGTCCGGACAGTACTCAGAGAGCGGTTGATTTGGACAGGTTCAGACATCTGAAATCTGAGCTTGATAATACGGACTGTGTGTATAGCAAAGAATCAGAATAGGATGAATTTGAAGGTCGAGGTTCGAAGTGTGGTGTTGTATTGTCACTGTCGCGAGGTATCCTGTAAGGGTAAAGACAAGAAAGTGATGCCCGAGCCGGCCAAGTTTCGCTGTAATCTCATCTCCCGATACGGCAAGGATGGTCTATGTTCCTGTGCTGCAGCTCTTGAGTTGCATGATTTCCTTCCAACCAAGACTTTCGTAAGGACGCCATGCTTCAGAATGTCCACAATCTACCACAATCACGAAGAAATCACCAACTGACCAGTCCCTTCTCCCTGTCAAACCCACCTCTGAGCTGCCTCTCAGGTTTCAAGACTTTGCCTTGCAACACTGTATACTTGACAATATTCTCACAGTCCTCTGGCCGAACTCTTGCAAGCCATATACACTGTCCGGCTCCTTCGCTTGCACCTAGATCCACCACCCGCTTTTCCTCTGCTTCTGTTTCACAAGCAATGCCATCTAGCTTCGGGGCACTAGCTCTCCGGTATATCATCACGTTGGCAGAGTATTTATGACCGCCAACGTGAGAGATGAAGTATATGCCAACGCCTCCCGGACGAGTATCTGCCAGATCACGCTGCAATCCCAACGGCCGAAGATGTCTTTCGAATTCTTTGAGAAGAAGTGGAGCGGATTGACCACAGCGTGCGTCGCGGGTCTTTTGAGAGCAAAGGAGGATAAGATAATTGTGAGGACACGGCCGAGTGGAGAGTCCGGACGGGAGAGAAGCTGGTATCGTTGAAGGTATTTGAAGCGAGTCTGGAGAAAGGGTTTTGGATGGTGGTTTGGAGATAGAAGTGGTGTTCGTGGGCGCTGAGTTCACGACACATCTTATTAAATCAGGTACCGAGGAGGGCGTGACGTTGTCGACGATGGTAAATGCTGGCAAAAGGAGAACTGTTGTTGAATCTTCGACTACTGGGTTTGTCGGAAGCGGAATATTCGAGGCCGATAGCATCAGTTTCTGTCCTAGTATTAACTACGGTGCGTTGCAGGGTCGAGTGACATACATACGCCATTTTGGTGTAAGTCGTTATGCTTCCCAACAGCCTCCATGATGCTGCCTTTCTCGTCCGAGACATCTCTTACCCAATCCGTCTTGCCTGTCGCGCAAAGGATATGCCTGCTCCAGCCCTTGATGTGTCCATAGAGCTTGTCGTCCTCATCAATGTCAAATTTCCGTGGGTACTTGACCGTGCAGCTTTCACAGTCCCTCAAACATTCTTCGCCATCGACTTCGGGATCGGTCTTTGTGAACAGTTGCGTGGGTGTTTTGGCGGTACTGAAACCACTGCTCGAAAGATCTGCACTTGAGGCATTGGGTGTAAAACGACTGACCAGGTTCTTCAACATGTCTCAATGAGTCTTGAGCTGGGAAAAGGGATGAATACGAGGAATTTGTAGCCACGACGGGTCGGGATAGATTGATTAGATTGATAAAGGTGGGGAACCAATTCCGCTGGCGGATGTCAGCATTCAGCAAGCGTAGATGGCTCCGAGCTTACGAGCACAGTATTTATGTCGAGAAAAACGGTTGCCTTGGATCGGCTTTGATGTCGGTGTTTCGGATTTGATAGAGAAAGTCGTATACTATCTCTTCACAAGTATATTGAGGGTGTGAGACTGTGTCATTGGCTCCTTTGAAAGTTGTCATCGAGTTCGGCAATGAGACCTTCGAGCTCGGACGTCTGGCAGCTCACCATCAACACAATAAGTATCAACATCAATGGCGATAACACACCCACGACATCCTTGAGGCCTCCATCATCACTGTATGAAGGAATTGTACACAATCTACTTTAATGGCTGGCAAGATCCTGACTGGCGCTCCGAGAGCATATGACCTTGACTGGAGCGAGGCTGCATACCTGAATTCGTCTGAAGCAACCTCTGTCATAGATAGCTCACGAGCAAAATTTGGCCTGGACACCTCGAAGTTCAGGTCCATAGGAGGATTGACAGATGAAGAGCAGAGCAGCAAAGATATCGACCAATCTTCGCATGCCGACAGACATACAGCGCTTCGTTTGCCATCTTCTCCTGCGGACACCGTCGACAATGTGGACATGCTAGACGGGATCACTGTCGTTGAGGTGCCAGAAGACATGACGCTCGGTGAGATTTATGATAATCCCGAGCACAAGTATCTCTCAGTCCGAAAGGCGAAGAGTTCTCGCTCTGATTTCAAGGATATGGAGGATGAAGAATATTTAGAACAATCCTTGATGTTCTACGACAACTCTCTGTTTCCGAGAGTTTCTCTCACACCGTCGCTTGATTCAACAACGTTTGACTCTTTGGACAGCTCGCAGCCGTGTTTTAGCTCTGCTTCGATGAAATCCACCCCCAGCCAGCTACCAAATATACAACTTCCATCGCCCATCATCGATTTGAAAAGACTGCCAAATGCCAGTTACATCAATCAGATCGCGCCACAGACAATCACGGTCAATCTCGTTGCTGCTGTTGTCAGCAGCGCTCCGCCTAAGAGCATTCAAACGCGGCAAGCCGGTCGCAAGATGGACCTGGTTGAAATGATCGTCGCAGACGAAACCCGTGCTGGCTTTCAGATCAGTTTCTGGCTCCATGCTGATCCAGAAAAGAAAGACCAAACAAGAAAAACACTTCAAGAATCGAAGCCAAAAGATCTCGTTCTACTCAAGAATGTTGCTTTATGTGTCTGGAATGGCACGGTCTTTGGGCAAAGCCTGCGGAAAGGATGGACGAAAACGGTGACTACCCTCACTACATGGGCTCGAGATGGCGTTCTGGAAGTACAAATCCCAGACAAAACTGAGGGGCTCGAGGCAGCTAAACTACAGAGAGTGTTCGACTATGCCGAGCAGTTCCTATCGGCGAGACTTGTCCATGGAAGGAAATATGAAGTAGATAGGGGTAATCGGGCTCTCTTTGACGACGAATTGCCGCCAGAAACGCAGTCTCAGCGAAGACGGACGAGGACAGGGACATCATTCGGCTGAGCGATCGACAGAAGCCGCAACAGAATATTACGCAACATGATCTACACATATTGAATTGATCAATACCGGCATTCCGGTGTCTTCGCGTCGACGAAAGTTGGTCTCTTGATGAGAGACTTCAAGTCCGACCAAGTCCAATGATAGATTTGGTTCAAGTGCTGTCGAAAGAATCAGCCGAGGGCGCTCTCGTTTCTACTTAAGAAACTTGGACGCAACAACCGCTTAATTCTGAGGAATGGATAGCAGAACAGTATTTGCCGGATCAGCTCGTCAGCGCCCCTGCCCGTGAGCTTTAGCGGTGACAATGCTTGTCTCAACCATTCGGATGTCATGTGCGGCCGGAAAAGATAGTTGTGATACCTATCGTGGAAGCGAGGTCTTGGTCATGCTGGGCTGATGCTCAATGTGAAGTCAACATTGTAGGCCATGTGCCTTAATCCAGACAAATAGCGGTGCTCGAGAGAAACAAGATCAAGAACTTCAATTCTATCATGAACAGTGACGTTTGATGAATGAAGGCATACCATACAAACCTTTGAACAAGCATATGAAGCTGCCGCCTATACAAGCCCTGACCGCGAGAGTCAGGACTGAACAACGGTTGTCATCAATAACCGAATAGCAGAAGTGCACTTGAAAGCTTGCAGATTCAATGTATATAAGTCTTATACCTGGCCTAAGGGATGGTAAAAGAAAGGAGAGTTCTGTGGGCTTCGCGTTTGGGCAGAGAGACGCCAAGGCCTCGGCAAAAGAATTCTTTTCCTGAACAACTCGCTGGACGTACCATTGTTTCAACAAATTCCGAGCTTATCATCTCCCAAATCAACCAAAATCGTACCTGCAGAATCCGCAAAAAGAATGTGACCAACGCAGGGATCGAACCTGCAATCTCTTGATGCAACGCAATCATCGTAGTCAAGCGCCTTGCCATTGGGCCAGTTGGCCATTCTTGAGGTAATTTCTCGGCTGTGGAGATACATATTACTACGCAGGTAGCTACACACATTTTCGTTGCTGAAAGTGTATGCTCCGAAATCCATGGAAGGGTCGACAACAGATGGATCCAGGGCGAGAAAGACTCGGAGTACACAGATCTCGTGGACGAATATGAAACGGCGCATTGGGGCAGGGACACGATGTGTTTGATCGATCTTGGACTACAGTGCTTTGAAAGGCGCGAGAGAGTCCGAGTCTCTGAAAAGAAGGTCTGAAGAGATCTCAGGAGAAGCCTCCGGGACCGATGGCCATGTATAATGTAGGGAACAATTCTGATCCGGAACACGAAAGGCCGGAATGATGCGTGTTAAGGTCCAGGCGTTGTGCGGTAAAATTGTACTTCGAGTCAGTCCTGATCGATCAAGCCTTCGATTCCGTCGACGCGGCTTGGTCGTCGTGATGCATACGTTGATTGTTTTCCCTCTAGATCCGCTCCGCGAATGCCGGAGGTGCATCATTAGCGCTCTAGAGTACTTGGGTAAGCCAGGCCTCGTCCTCATGCCTCTCTGCGAACCAAGCTTCACTGTCGATCGGGTCTTTATTATACTATTAGCCCGGGTGAGATTTCCCAGGTCTCCCATATTATCTCGGTCACGGTGTCACCCCTCGGAGAAGTGAGGTTTGTACCGTGCGTGCATTGATTTCGTTATGTCGAAGAAAGCAGGCCCTGTATGTGTTCTCTTCCCAAGTCTCAAAGCAGTACCTAATCATTATCACAGAACAAGAGTGTCCCCTCAGCTGAGCAAGTCCGAGACAATCAGCGGAGATCTCGCGCGCGTCATAAAGAGTTCGTCGATGATTTGAAGAGGAGGATCCAAGAGTATGAGAGGAATGGCGTCGAGGTCACGAAGGAGATTCAACAAACGGCGAGACGGGTTCACGAGGATAATTTGAAGCTCCGCCAACTGCTTGCACATAAAGGTGTTTCCGAAATAGAAATAAACAGCTTCCTGTCTGGGCCCGATCATCCCAGCAATCCTCTGCCACCACCGAAATCAGTTGCCTCGCCCATCCAGGCTCCAACTCCTCCTGTCGATACACATTTCCTATCACGTACACTGCCTCCGCCCATGCACAGACACCAGGAGCCTGAAGTCAAACTTCCTCCCATGAGGACATTGGAGGACAATGCACAGTTGGAGCGTCTGAACGTAGATCCAGCACTGGCTGGGCCGAGAATGCTGTTCAGCGATATCAGAAGGACTGAAAGCATTTCTGAGTTGGAATGCGATTCACAAGATTCGGAACCCCACATTCGTCCGATATCACGACGTCCGCCATCTGAAGTATCAACATGTCGCACGATATCGACGACGGAGACGAGCGAGGCCATACGATCACCACTCGAGACTTCTTGCGAGGACGCAGCAAGCATCATCGCCAGCATGCGCGGACACGCCGACAGGGAGCAAGTCCGGGAAGAGTTGGGATGTGGCGCAAAGAGGGACTGCGCGGTTAAGAATACGACATTGTTTCAGCTCATGGATCAGTCATGAAAAACGCTACAAAGCCGTGATTTGAGATCGCCAAATAGCAAATTATTGATTCAAAGACCAGCCGGCTAGCACAAGCTAGCAGCGCGCACAAGTTGCAGGCCCGTTGGATGCAACACGACAGCTTTCTATATCGACACACCGGCCACATTTCTGCCGCGCAGGAACACGATGAGATGAGGCAATGATCGGAATGTATGGGTGACGTATCGCCTACAACGCTAGAGCGTTGCCGATTGGGGTGGGGTAAATGATTCAATCAAACCTGGCCATCACGGTGGTCGAGGATGGCAGACGGCTGCGGTAGTGGTACCGAGATCTGTGAGGCAGAGATGCGACTTGAGGAGTAATTACACATCACTGTTAGACGGCAATATTGCTGTTGCCAATGTAGATGATGATGCAAACGCCTTCGATATTTGCATTCGCTGAATCTCGGTTCGTTTGTTTAAGGCTCATCTGCTTTGAAAGTTCCAATTACTGTGCCAGGTTCGGGTTTGACAATAAGGATTCAATCGAAGTGGACATCGGTCACGAAATATCACGCAAGCCTTGGTCATCGCGTGGTTGACCTTCAGCTTCATGTGACTTCTGGCTCTGTTATAAGTCTCCCTGGTTCTCAAGACAGACGGGAACGTCCGAGTTTTCACTTGGATACTTGTGCGTCATATCTGGGTAGCCAGACCACGACCATGGAGTTTAGAAATGATGTCCTTTAATGGTTTGGGTTTGTGGATGTGAAGAATGTGTCAACAGCTGGAAATGCAGCTACGAAAGCCAATACGTCTATCACGAACCAAATCAGGGAAGCCAGCTTCGTCCGAACAAGTCGCTTGCCATCATACTATATGTGCCCCTTCCTGTGTCACACCGTAATGACGGGCACCAGGTATTGAAAGTCGATCTCAGCCGCAAGTCTGGAGCCGAGGGAGGATGGAATTGTTAAGCGCGATTTCTAGATTTCGCCATACACACCGGCAGTTTCTTCCGCGGCCAGGGAAAGAGATTTCATACATCGCCCCTCCATCCACTTGAAAAGAGGTGAGATTGCGATGGCACAAGCTACTCATGGTAGACTAAATAACACTGCGTAGTTCCTCGCAGGGCACGGGAGGTGAGGAAACTAGACGTCAGGGTTTGTACCTTGTGAGAGTGACTAGTGACTTGAAAACTTTTGCGGTGCTTTTTGTGGAGCTGTCTGATCCGAAGAAAAAAACTTAGATTGTGAGGGGATTTAGATTGGAGCTTGATAGTTACGGTATTGTGTATTGAGTGGGAGGACAAAAAGTGAGGATCGAATCCTATAGTAGGCAACAAAACACCCAAGGCAAAAGAAGGTTGACAAGAAAGCCAATTTAGTCTGTAAAGTTCGCAAAGAAATTGGCAATTCCTTTTCTTGATGTGAGAGCAAAAAGATTCAACTCTCTTTGGTTGCTTGCGATCCTTATCGACGGCCGGATCGGGCATAGTAAGAATACCTTACGCTGACTAATGCACAACCCTTAGTGGGGATGCGAGCAATCCACTCTCTAAGTGATCCAGGTCAAAATCTTCAGATTCCACCCACATCCCGACCGCCCCAACATCATCCTCTGAACAAGCAAGAGTACTCATTGCAAAGCCTTCCCGCCCATTGTAGGGTCTGATCACTTCACACGTCCACATGCGCGTTACTCCCAGCGTCTTCACTTCTCAGGTATGTTTTACTTCTGTGACTTTACTCTGTGAATCGCCGCCCTTATCGGACACCACGTTCATCTACCACCACCAACGAGCAATCGCCGCAAAGCATTGCTTGACGTTTCCGTCGCTGCCTCTCATATCTCACAATTGTCATTCACATGTCTATACCTAGTACACCTTGCTAATTGATCTCTTATTAGGATTATCTTTCTGGTACACTCCCTCCATGTCGCCAATTTCTCCCTCCCAGACTGACCGCCATTTAGACCACATCTGGAAAGCCTCTGTAAACTAAACGACAGCGTTATCTCAAACATACAATCAATATGTTTAAGACCTTATTTAACAAAACCCAAGGTCTCGGCCTAACCGGCAGGATTGCAGCACAACGCCGTTTCTTGGCCACCGTACAAACAAATGCGCCTCGACGAACGCCTGAGAACAGGCCACGAGCGACGCCAGTGACCTACGACCGAGCAACTTTCACCATCAAGGTAAGCCGATGCGTTCACAGGATTAAAAGCAAGGGCTAATGGCGGCAGGATGGTAAAACCTATACAGGAAAATCTTTTGGAGCCAACAGGAACATTTCTGGAGAGGCCGTCTTCACCACTTCCCTGGTCGGATACCCCGAATCTATGACCGATCCTTCCTACCGTGGGCAGATTCTTGTTTTCACGCAGCCATTGATCGGCAACTATGGAGTGCCCTCCGCGGCTCGCGATGAACATGGTTTGCTTCGATATTTTGAATCTGCCAATATTCAAGCTGCGGGTATCGTGGTCGCGGATTACGCTGCCAAACACAGTCACTGGACCGCCGTCGAGAGTTTGTCTGAATGGTGCGCCCGAGAAGGTGTGCCGGCCATCAGCGGCGTCGACACCAGGGACATTGTCACATTTCTCAGAGAGCAGGGCTCTTCTTTGGGCCGTATCACGATTGGTGAGGAATATGACGCCGATGAGGATGAGGCATACGTTGATCCGGAAGCTATCAACTTGGTCAAGCGAGTCTCCACCAAGGCTCCATTCCATGTCAGCTCCAATGTTGGCGATCTTCATGTTGCTTTGATCGATTGCGGTGTCAAGGAGAACATTCTTCGCAGCCTGGTCAGCCGTGGTGCCTCTGTTACCTGCTTCCCATACAATTACCCAATTCACAAGGTTGCTCACCATTTCGACGGTGTTTTCCTTTCCAATGGCCCAGGAGACCCTACCCATTGCCAAGAGACTGTTTACAACTTGCGAAAGCTTATGGAGTCTAGCCAAATCCCGATCATGGGGATCTGCATGGGTCACCAATTGCTTGCCCTCGCTGCTGGTGCCCGCACGATCAAGCTGAAATATGGAAACCGTGCCCACAACATCCCAGCCCTCGACTTGACAACCGGGAAGTGCCACATCACGTCGCAGAACCATGGATATGCTGTTGACGCCACGACTCTGCCATCTGATTGGAAGGAGTACTTCGTCAACCTCAACGACTCTAGCAATGAGGGCATGATCCACAAGTCTCGACCGATTTTCTCTGCACAATTCCATCCAGAGGCAAAGGGCGGTCCCCTCGACTCCGCATTCTTGTTCGATTCATACATCGATAACGTTGCAAAGTATAAGCAGACTCAGGCAATTTTCTCTCAACAGGACAACAAGCCATCACCATTGTTGGTGGACCTATTGGCAAAGGATCGTGTGGGCGTGCACCCAGGTCTGCCAGACTTTCAAGGGTACGGTACTGGAATGATCACACCAACACCTGTCGCTTCTGCAGCTT